AACAAAGTAATGAATGTTATTTATACAATAGAGCTTCTCAGGAAAAGACAAGGATTTACTGATGGGAAAGACATAATCACCATTACCCATCAGAAAGACTGTGTGCTCCAAGCTTGTGAAGAACACCTGCGTGCCAGGCTTGAAGTATCTCTGTCTGACTTATGGTCACTTCAGTGCAAGGGTGCTGGACATCACAGCGCTGCCAAATGCCAAAAAATCATTCCATTGTCACCAGTGTGGCATTGCCACCTACTGGCCTCCCACTGGCACAACCAGGTGCTAGTTGAAGAGCCCTGTAACAAGCAATAGATACAAGGGAAGTTTCTTCAGTGATTTTCATGTGCTAAGCAGAATTTGGAGAATAATGAGCCAGTTACTGGACCCGTTGGGGTCTGAGGAAGATGAGTGCCTTGTGTCAAGAAGCTCAAATGACACTGGGGCAGCTAGTTTTCTTGCTCTGTGTGCCTGGTTTTAATTTGAACCTGTCTGTGACTACTCCCCACCTGGTTAGGTTAAATATGACCAGCTGGCTGCTCTGGTACAATGTCAGAAACTTCTGCTGTGCAAAGAAGGATGCCCATCAGCTGTTTCCTACCACTATATGAGTACAGGAGGAATGCCAGCACAGCAAGAACCATTCACAGCATGCTTTGGCAACCTCTGGGACCTCATTCTCCTATTTCAACATGCGCTGGGTAGCAGAAAGCCTTTCCAAAAAGTTCTGTGATGGGGAAAACTCATTATTTTGAAAACTGCCTTTTTGACACTGTCTTTTGAAGATCTAGTTCTCACATGGTAGAAATGTAAAGGTGACCAGGACTGCCTCCTGGACACCAAACTCTGACTGCCATCTCTAGGAACAGACCCAGCAGGCTGCAGTAGTGCAAAAGAGCTCACTAGGTACCATAAAATAGCAAATATGTTTTCAGTTCAAAAGGAAACAATCAACTTGATACCACCAAGAAGTCACATCTACTCATTCCAGGGAGACCTTCAAGGTGCTGTCTGGATTTCTTAAGGTGCTTGATAGTGAAGGACCCACCTGGCTCAGCAGTGCTCTTTTTCTCCCTGTGTATGACTGAAGAAATAGATGAGCAGAGCTGCTTTTTCACTTTATTTTTCATTTGTGTTTTTATAGCTGCACCAGGTGGTGAGCTGTAGGCCCATGCTCTAGAGCTGCGCTCCTACCACAGGACCAGCCTGACACGGGGGTCACTTGTGGAGCTGCTGGGAACCACATGTATAGCAGCTATGTCTTACAAATCTGAGGTTCTCCTTTCTTAATGTTTATGTTATACTCAACAACTAAGGAAAAAGGAGGCTTGTGCATTTCTCTGTGTTAGCCTGATTTTCAAAGTCTCTTATCACCTACATGCTCCCTATCTGGTTCCAAGAAATCTTTGAGTTCCAAGCACTTCTGAAGAGCAGATGAAAAGAAGAGAGCACATTTCTACATAGAGTCTAACTTGCAGCAAATATTTAAATAATGACATTGAAAGCAGGGACAAACCTGAAAAGCTTCTAAGAAGGTCTGAGAAATTATGACTGTTACGAATCACATAGAAGTTTCCTGTGAATACGTTACAAAAATTCTTGTTAGAAAAAGAAACCCAAAACACACAAAAATGAGGCGATCTGAGTGGTGCAGTTCACTGTCACAAGACAGCTACGCACTGGCGTTATAACATGGGGCTGCCAAACAAAGAGCAACTAATTCTGCAGCACAAAACTGTGCAGATGCATAAGGGATAGAGACCCAGAGCACAGATTTGTGCTGCCCGTTACACACGAAAGGAAGAACAATTTCAGTGTTTACTGTAATAGTGCAACGTGAGGGGGAGCACAGCTACCCCACAGCAGCTCAGGCAGGGCTGTAGAGAAGGAAAAGTATTGTAGAAACATAATAGGGATGTCCATATGATAGTCACTGCTGTAACAATATTTTAACATTTAAAAAAGAAATTAACGCTATGTCTAAAGATCCCAGTGTCAGATAATGAAATAGCATTCCTACAAGGGAACAACTAAAGTCTTTCAAAAGATTTTCAACATAGAAGGAATTCTATTAGGAAATAAGCTGACATACATTAGAGAAAGACTTCCAGCTAAGAATCTCTGTTGAGTAAACTGTGCCAGAAGATGGCTTTGAAAACAAAGGCAGGAGGGTACATATGACAAATAAAATGTACAGTAGCAGAGGTTGCAGCTGGCAAGCACCTCAACAGCTCTTGCACTGGAGTCAGAATATCCAACAGAATCAAAGCCATAGGAATTCACAAAGCCCTTGAGCTCAGACAAGGGCCAGAAGGCTCTAGCTGAAGTACAGACTGCCAGGGAGCCCGACACTTGATAGCACAAGACAAATATGTGAATGGCACCACTTAGACAAAGAGGGAGCTCCATAGGAGCAGCAGGACTGAAACACAGGTGGCTTCAACACAGACAGGCAGGCAGAGCTACCAGAGAAGAACCAGAAGCAAAGTGCCAATAACTGTCCCTCTTCAGATAAAAGCCAACAGTACTAACCAGAAGCTCACCTTCTGCTCAGTGACCACAGATCCACATGAAGATGTAAGACAACCTTGACACTCAACAAAAAAGACTGATACCTGTAGTGACTAAAACAGTAAAAACTTGCATCAAGTGCATGAGCCCACCTGCCAGACGAAAATGAGATGACCCTTAAGCTCAGTACCTATGGAGGCAAGTGACTTTGCTATTCCTATTAATCGTATTGTAACACCATCATACTTTTCACATGCTAGCAATTTTAATGTAACACAAAGTTTGATCTTGCCCCAGGGAAGAAGCTGTTTAGGATGAGCTATTGCATGAGGAAAGACTGGGTTCAACCGTATTTTTGCAACTCAGTGGAAGATGAATACAGCAATGCTACTAGAAGTAGGAAAATGTTCAGAAATAAAACAAAAGGGAAAAAAAATTATCAGAAAATACAACTGAGTATTGAGAGCAGCTTAAATATACCTCTGTTAAATATAGAGAAACCAAAATACATTTCAGTCCTCAGAGACATCTGTGCTAATGGACAATATTTCCAGTCCAAAATAGGTAAAATAACAAATATCTTTAAAGAAAGGGAAAAATAAAGTGTGACTGATAACAGATTATTTCAGATATTTATTAAAGTGCACAACTAGCTTGGTTTCACAATCAAACCAAGAATGTGGTGAGGTGCTGCTGAGATTGCTCATTTGAATTTACAATACAGCTTAGAACACAGGGGTCGACCTGAGATGCAGATCTATAGTACTCTGGCTATTTTTGGCTATTGAAGTTCAGAAAGCTCACCTTGCACCTGTGGTTTAAAAAAAAAGTGCCCATCCTCCAAAGTGCATGGTAGAGAGACACTGGCATGCCCAAAACAACTAACAGGACAGACGGTCAATCAATAGGAAGACTGAAAAAGAGAGACCATCAGGAGACTTCCCTATCTGAGCAGCAGAAGAGGTGTCTAGGGAAGCATACACACTCTTACTGAGCTCAAGGACTACATGACCACTTAGGCAAACCATATTTCATTTGTATTGCAATGGTCTTTGCAGGAACTTAGGAGAGATTCATGTAACGGTGTGCTGGATGCTTCCAAAATTAAGAATAAAGTAGTAGATGCCAATTCAGAGGTAATGACAGTGCAGTACAGGAGGTATCACACCAGAAACAGTGATCCTGAGCATGCAGTGGTCATGACATTGCACCTGCCAAAGTGCAAAGGTTGATAAAGGTTAACGATGCAGCAGAGAAGTGGGTAGTGGAGGCATCTGCAAAAGAGAAACAAACCTATACTGGTAAAGAGATGGTTGAAAAAAAGGAAAAAAATTAGGAGAATGTGAGAGAATTGACTTTGAAAGAGCAAACCAGAAAAATACTCACTGCAGCAATATCAAAAACATGTTTCACATAAGATTTCTCTTTGTCTCAGACTGCGTTTGTAAAGGACAATATTAATTCTTAATGTTCTAATCACAGCACTTGGAGGCTGGTGAACAAAAACTCAGAATAGTAGCAGAACAAAAGAAGGACACAGTTTTGGTGGTGGGGGCAAAAGGATGGTGAGGAGAAAAAGCAGAGCATAAGTCTGATTGAAGTGTCGATAACTTGAGTATGATTTGGGCAACTGTAGATAACACAGTAAACACTGAGTAAAGGCCACAGTGGTGAGAAGCAAGGTTTCTGATGGACCCAAAGCAGGAATCATAAGAATCTTGGTATTGTAAGAAATGCTGAAAAATTAACAGCTATACTGAATAATCAATCATACATAACAGCAGAGAAGAAAATGAATGTTTTCAAAATCAGTCTCCAGACTATGTAACACTATGTGCCAAGAGCAGTGTTCAACTTTTGGTAGTTTACAGAAAGGGAACCTAAGATTAAGAATCTGATGGTGCAGAAGTGCTGGGCACCTACATCTACATTTAATCCAATCTAGCATCACAGATCCATGGCACTTTTGTAAATCAGGCTCTAAGAATATAAACTCTACAATTTAGCTGAACAAACTTGGTAACTAAAGATACATAAAGGCTGTGATATTCACCTGAAGGAACCAACAAAGGGCAATTTAAACCAGGATCCCAAATAAAATGTCAGAAGACTGTCTTTAGGGAGGCTCTGTGAGAAAATACCTTGCATAAGCAGGAAAGGTTTTGAACATCTCATTTATTCCTTGGTATATGACCTCTTTCTGTCACTGAGGGCACTCAGACAGCTAATGAGGTAGATATAGCACAACCAAGTCTTTCCTGATAAATAACCATGATGGTAACACTTTCAACCTTATTGATTTGCCTAAAACAAAAATCATGATGATAATGGGTTATGTATCCCTGAGAGGGAGTATAAGAGAGGAAGAGCAGAAGTCTTCTCCAAAGATTTTGGGAGAAGGGCCACCACTTCACTGCTATGGTGGGAAACTATTATATGAAAAAAAAAAATGTGTTTGCACAACATTGCTGTGAGATGTGTGTGTTTTATAGATGGGGGAGCCAGAAAAGTTAATTGACTTGGCCATTAAAGCAGTCAGTGACAGACCTGGGATTCATGATCAGGACTTCCTTGCCTCCTGCATCATGTTCAGACAGTTATCAAATGGCTGGCCAGAGGCTCACTGCATGGTTGTTCTCACATACTGTATAAAGATAGTCATGCAAAAGGGATGTAGCACAAAGTCACTGAAGAACAGAGAGCTCTCTGTACCAGAAAGCAGATTTCTTCTGGAAGCTGCGTGCAATTGGGAACCTCTGATGGGATGCATACATCTGGTTTCTTCACCCTGGAATATCTGGTGCTTAAGGCTTAGCACAATGAGGACCATTTTAATGACTAAATGTTACAGAGAGAGCCTGTACAGGCATAAATTACAAGGTATCTGGTAGTGGGATGACCTTTTCCCTATGCTCTTCTGACCCTTAAAAAACAACCATTAGCCCGGTTAATTCAGTGGACTCATCACATACAACTATAGATCAGTCTATATTTCCATGTCCACAGGTCGGATATCTCCAGTTTTGTGTTCTTTTACCCACAGTTCCCTGTCTTTGGCAGGATCCACTTTCCGAAGCAACTGATCCACGAGCTCTACTGTCTAAAATGAACAAACAAGAACAAAAATGTCAAGGGTGCATTCCAAGCAGAGAGTCATTGTTCTGAAGCGTAGCGCAGCTAAGGGCACACCTATCCTGCATTTGTAGACAGGTGAGAACCTCACGTATGTGAGGTTCAGTGAACAGCCAGACCTCAATGTGAAGCTTCATAGCAGAAAGCAGACAAGGTGCAAACTTTAAGGTCAAGTGGAGACAGGATTCCTATGCCTGGCATTGGCCAATCGGTCTCTGACTCCTGTCCTGCAATGTGTACCTTACACCAAATACAGCCATATACCCAGGGCAGTATACACTTCCCATATTTTAATATTAAAAAACTTAGTAATTTTCAAATAAGAAAAAAAATACACTCCTTCCTCCAACAGTGAAACTATTTACCACCTTCCTTGCAAGAAGAGATGAGCTCAAGGAGCAGTGTGCCATGCTGTGAGAGGTAATGGCTCATGCTGGCCAGATGTAACTCCACGCCCTGTGTCTCCCCAGCAAAAAACTGTGATCCAGTCATACGGAATTTTACCAGGATCACCTTGGATAAGCAGGGTGGCCATGCAGTACTGCTGCAAACCAACAAGCTGACCCTGCACGCTTTTTCTCTCTCCTTTTGCTACAGGTCAGTTGGATGAGGGTAGGGGCTGTTCTGCTCAGCTGAAGTGCAGTGAAGACCAAAGGGATTGAACAAAACCCAAACTTACGCTTTGGTTGAACATGTCTGTCTCATGACGCAGCTGTGTGTACTGGCAAAGATGCTGCCGAATCATCTCCACCCTTTCAACTTCTAGTCTCTCGAGCTCCTGAACATGAAGAAAAACAATGCCACATTTTTCTTGAAAGCTAAGTTTGAAGGCCCAGAGAAAGGACAACACACACAAAGTTGCCAGTCAGTATGATGCTATGTTAGGGTCATGCTTCGGGGCTGAACTCTGCTGTTGCACTCCCCTCTGATTTGGAGAGAATCAGAGACAGCAAGCAACAGAAGTCACTTCAGCCTAGTGACAGGAAAGAAGGTTGAAACTTCTGCAAAACTAAGACAGCAAAGGCAGAGAGAGTCTTCAGAGATGCTGCAAGCAAGAGGGAAAATATTTTCTTCAAGAAGCTCTGCATGCTTTATTGCTAGCTCCAGAAGTTACAGTGATTCCCTGAGAAAGCAGGAGACTGCTCTAGTGTGTGGCTCAGAGAACCTGAGTGCCCTTGCTCTAACCTGGCACCTGTCAGAGCAGTTTCATCAGTTCACCAGATGATGAGCTGGGACAAGTGCCCACCTTGCTCAGCTGGTAGTAAGCAGACCCCACAAACAGTTTAGTTGAAAAGTCAGGTGATTTCTAATTTTCCTCCGGATTTTTTTTCTGCCTCCCTATTCTCCTGCATTCTGGCATTATAGCCCAAAATCTGCATTTAGTCCATCCTTGCCCATGTGAATGGCAGCAGTGGAAGCAACATGCTGTGGAAGTCTGCCTTTAAAGACATACTGTAATGGACTTCGCTGTTTCACCAGAAAGCTCTGTATTCACAGGCACATCAGTGAGGCAAAATCTTACACAACCTGCCTTCAGAGGGCATTTCTGGTATTTCACTTACTAAGCATCATGGCAGTGTGCAATCTCAGAATACACGTGCAGGCAGGCTGCCACACTGGGCACCCCTGGGCTATCTGCAATGTGTTAAACATCATTTGGGAAACAGATTCTTCATTACAGCATAAAAGTCTCAGGTGGCAGACTATCTGCCTGGGGATGGCACGGACAGGACAGAAACAGGCTGAGCTCTTATTGCTCTTGCTAGCTGATGTACTGTCCTTGTGGAACAACTGGTCCACATTTAAGTCAGACTCCCTTACTTAGGGCATAGATGTGCAGAACCCAGTGTGCTAAGTGCTGGTAAGCACACCACAGGCAGAACGTGCATGGTATCTGCACCAGAAGCTTTCAGGGAGGAAAGCATGCAAAGAAATAAAAATCTTCAGACCTTGACTCTCTCAACTTTGTACTGCATATGAACTAATCTGTACCTGAGCTGATCAGACGCAGACTATTTTCACTTTAGATTTTATATTCACGCACACCGAGACTTACCTTCAACTGCTTTTCAGCCTGAGTTCTCACAGAACTGCTGTGCAGCCTGCAGGCTGTGACTTCCCTCTTGAGCTAGCTACCAGTGCAGAGTCGTACTTCTCCAGGAGGAAATATGCAGCTAACTAACCTCTGCCTGGCCATAGCTGGACACAGTGGCACTGATGGTCAGTGCCACTGCATCAGTGAGAAACCACCAGTGAGGGTGAGAGGAGAATCAGATCCTGTACATACAGGAACAGCCAACTTTCTCTCTTCTTCTGCTTTTGGGAAGGTATCTGCCTCCTTGTTTTCCAGTCACCCATCTGTCTTTATTTACTGCAGTTTAAACATTGCACTCACACACTTTCAAATGCTGAGGAATTTTTTACCGTGCTTCTTATTAGGAAGAGGTTACAGTTTTGTGTTTGTCCAATGAGAAAAATACATTTTTATTTTCCAATTCTGAAAGCAACTGACTGTTGTCCAGAAGGGCTCTGAGGAATGACACAAGGGAGGAGCCCTAAAGCCAAAGTACAAGGATTTCCAGAAGTACAGCACACCAAAGCAGTATCCTGGCATCTTGGTGACTAGTCCCTAAGGTACACACGCTTAGGGTGAATATTGTGAGCTGTGTTATCTTCAGAGGAACAGAAACAGAAAAATAAGCAATTAAAGCATGCCTCTTCTGAGCTGGCAATGCCCACAGAGAAACTGTAAAATCATAGAATACAAAAATACATTAATGCATAAATAGATTCAGTGATAATCACATCCTTCCATGTCTTTCTTGTACATTATTTCATCCTCCTTGGGGACAATTCCAGGGTTCCGTCCCTCGAGCAGCCCTGAACTGGTTTAATGCCTTCTGGAAAGAATAATTTCTACATCCCTCACGATAAGCATTTTTCGTAGAACTAAGAATGGAAAATACAATAGGAGATTTATCACCTAATTTTTCTCATTGCTTTGCACTGTAACTAGCTATGAGTGATGAAAGCTGTACGCTATTACAGTTTTGGGATGGTATACATGTAAGATGTTACACAGAGTTACATACCAGAGTGGTGGTCACCATTTCCTCAAACCACTTGGACTGGGCTTGATTGTAAAGATCCACACAGCGCATCAGGTCATCTCCTGAGAAGTTCAAGAAAGCAGCACATTAGGATTCTCTAGCCAGTGTTACGGAGATTAGAAAGAAATCACAGTTCAGGTTTTTTAGACAGATCCAGAAGGTTTGAAGGTCAGTCCTGGTGGAGCTGAAGACAGTTCTGTTATTTGCAACTGAATTTCAATAAATGCATGCACTTGATGTGTGGTAGAAGACTGGCGTGAGAAAGAAGAGGGGGAAAGACAAGAATTGAAAAATATGAACATTAAGTAGTACTTTACAAAATGTCTGGAACTATGAATGCAGGTTACCTCAGGAAAAAAACAAAACAAACAAACCAAAACCAAACCAAACAAAAAAACCAACCAGGTCACGGACAGAAAGTTATATCTGAAAAATAAAATCATTAAAATAGAAAATCAATGATGAGCTACGGAGCTGCAGGGTAGAACTCTGTATGTGAGACTGCATTCTAAGACAGGTCTGTTTAAAATGGAAATGAAGCATCAGGCTCAAGCTGTTTGAGATCAAGGGATGTTTATGTGCAACCAGAACCCAACAGCACACTCATGGATTCTCCAGCCCCTGAAGATGCATGATTCCAGCTGAGCTCTGGCTTCCTCCCATGTTCAGGGAAGTAATACAGTAAGCTGTGATTATTTCAATTTTATTTTATTGCAGCACTCTGCTCTGATGGTGAGGGAAAGGTAGGCGGAAAATCTGGAAGACATGTCTCAGAGCCTACTGCTTTCTGTATAGTAAATTATCTTTCTTCTTTAAATGAGGCTCAGTTATGCCTTATTACCCTAATGATTTGCTGCCTAGGTCCAGGGCTCAAATTCATCCTGTTCCTTCATGTGCAAAAATGTCTTGTACATAAACCTGTTCATGGACCATGCTTTGGTCCATAGACCAAAAGTGTCAAAGAAGTAAATGCATCTGGAAGTGTCTCGTGGACTTAGAACTTGGGGTGGCAACCAAACTCAACAAAACAAACAAACAAACAAACAAACCAGGATTCAAGGCTTGAAGCTTGGCAATAAGCTTATCTACCCAGATGAGTGATGCCCAGTCTAACATGACAAGTACAAACCATTGTCTCCCACACTCCAGGAGGCTCACCAGGAACTATTTGACTTGGTGTTATCTTCTACCCACCTGGGTGAACCTGAGCCACTGTACGGCCAGGACCATGAAAGTCATGACCAGTCCATGGGAGCAGAATTGTTTTCCATCACCGATCTGTTCGCAGTGGGACCACAGTCCCACTAGTAGTGGGATCTGCAGTGGGACAGTAGTCTAGAGCTCTCTAGTTGTATTGTCCACTTGCAGCAGGCCTCATTTCAAAGCTAGATCACTATATGCTGCTGCTGTGCATATTGCAAGCACTCCAGCTGGGCTGCTGGGTAGCATTACATGTGGGGATGGGGCAAGTCCCCCCCTGCCATGCACGGTAACAGTGGCACCAAGTGGGGGAGAGTGATGGGCAGACACACCAAACTCTGGGTTACTCCCATCTCTTTTGATTCTTCAATAAGTACCTATTGCAAACAATTTCTGAGGGCCCAAGAGAACATAGAGAGGCTGTGAATTTACAGACATAGAATCATAGAATCCTTTA